CAGTGAACTCTGACAGTTCTTCTCTGACACTGATTTTCTGAAGTCATCTGAACTATATATTCCTAGCTGACATATGATGTGCCAATGTAGGCAATATTGAAAACATTTGGGAAGTTGGGCAACACACATTGCTAGAGAGTAGAGAACTGACTCTTATCTGATTTTATAAATGGTCATTTGTTTTTCCTCTGCCAAATCCAGAGCTCGTCCTGCTTCCTAGATAGAATTCCTGGCTTTTAGAAGGTGTTCTTAATGTTCCCTGTATTATCACCTTTAATGTTGTTTTACTTCCTCTGGAATATGACTGTTGTGCAATATCAAGCAACAACAACAAAAAATTAAACATTATTACATGTTTAATAAACATTATTACAAGTATTTAGTGAATATTTTATCTGAAAACTCACATTACTTCTAGCTCTGGACTGAGACTTTCATCAATTCAAAATATTCACCTGAGAAACAAAAGCACTTTACATTTAGAAACTACAAGAGAACATGCAATTTTTGTCTTACAGGAAAGTGCTAAACTGTTCCACTTGCTTTTAGAGCATGTGACAGATAACACAGCTGTTCCCATTCTAAAATGCGGCTAGAAATATGCAGGACAAGAGACTAAGGTACCTCAGTTGACCCGTCTGATTATAAAATGGGTGACTCTTCATACAATAGAGCATGGATGATGTTAGGGCATGAGGGAGCAAGCCAAGGAACACAGATACATATAAGTTATTTAAAGAAGTATATAACTAAGTTGTGCTTTGCAGGAAAAAGTGGTACACAGGCAGAAAACAGTCTCTCTCTTTTTTTTTTTTTTTTTGGACAAAATAGTGGTATCAAAGAGCAGCATAATAATTTAGCACACCAGCTGTTGCCTGTAGTGAGGTTTATGTTTTACAGACTTCAGTGCAGAAAACTCAGTTCAAGAATCACCACACAGCTCCTTGAAAAATGTATCATAGCATGAACCATGCAGGTACTGAAGATCCAACCCTGATGTTATACCTGGAATAAAAATAGAGACTTACATTATTTTTTTTGAGAAAATTTGGTAGTATTTTGAACGCATGAGAGTAATTTGCAATATTTTTATCTTCTGAGGCTCTTTATAATAGTTGTGGGAGTTTTCTTTAGGAGAATTCTACTCCTTCCCATTCTGGCTCAAATAAAATGGGAAGCTAAAAATACAAGAGTTTCATTCAAAGTCTATGGGAATAAGATGGCCATGACATGCCTATAACTCTCTCTGAAAATGCTTTTAGTCTCTGGAGAGATCATATTGAGATGGTTGTGAGTAATACATTGTGGGAGTTTTTCCCTCTAACACAGCTGTTGTTTTAATCATGTGCCAAGGACTTAAAACAATTGCGATTTATCAGCTAGGGAAACAGAAACTTGATGTCATACCCCTTGCCAGATTTTGTAAGATTGGATCAGTATTTTTGTCTATTTTTATTTGTCATGAGGAAAAAATAGCCTTTCTGTTTCGTTACGTTGTCTAAAATTAGAAAAATTGGATCGCGGTAAAAGTAAACTTTGCACATAGTATCACAATCCTGAAATAGTAGATGAAACACCAAATTAAATTTTAAGATAAGATAATTAATTTTAAGATAACTTCAAAATTATTTGTTTGAGTATAAAATATAATTTAATATTTATAGACTTATAAAGTTAAATAGTGGCTTTTAAAATTTATATCACTCTTTCTCAGTATATAAGTTCATGCATTATTATACTGGTGAGATGGGAGCAGGCTTGGTACCCTCATGCAGTGCACATTCTCCTTCCTTCATTTTTCATGTTACTATATGGAAAGGTTTAAGAAGAGCTTGGTATCAGCCATTTGGCTGGAATTACCTGCCCATGTGAGCAGGTGCAGTTGTACCAAAGTGAAGACAAGAGGATTCCACTGGAAGGCAAACACAGCCTGTGAGCTCCATGACACGGCTGAAGGACATAACATGGAGTATATGTAAATTTTAACCTCTCCTCCTCTCCCATTCATCAGTGGTTCTGTGATTGATGTCTGTCAGTGCTCTCAGGCACGTGGTGGATTGTTGGGACTGTCTTGTGCAGGGCCAGGAGCTGGACTTGATGGTCCTTGCAGGTCCCTGCTAGCTCAGGATATTTCATTATCTTTCCTTCTGAGGTATGCAGAAAAAGAGGACTTCCTCGCTGGATGGGAATGAAGTATGTTTTACAGCCTTCTAGACTCTTTTCCTTACTGTCATGTTACTAATGTTTTGCTTGTTTAAAACCAGAAAGAAGATTATTCTTCTCAGCAGTGCTGAGTAGTTGCTAAGAGAACACAAATTCCAAATCCAGAGACCTTTTCTGAGAGTAATTAGGCTGCGAATTTGAGTATCTGTGCTTATAAAGGATTTAGACATAACCTTATGTTCTTCTGTGAAGCTGTTAGGAAAAAGTGTGATTTTAAAACCAATAAGTGCAGTTTTATTGGGGCACTTTAACTTAAAGTTGGTGTTACTTTTTATTTTATATTCAACATTTGTTTTTACTGGGTAAGCCTATGTAATGTCCAAGTGCTTTTTTTTTTCCTTTCCTTTTAATGTAATTTTCCCCAAGGTTTTGCTTTTCATTTTCAGTCTTGTTTGTCACCTTAAGGTGTGGATAAAGTCTGCAATTTAGCTTTCCTTTCCTTCCTTTTTATCCCAGCTGTCATGTATGAAAATTTTGCTAATTTCCCTCTCAGATCATCATGTTTTCCCATCTCTTGAAGTCATGTTGATTAAAATAAACCAAAAATTATGATAAATATTAAATGCATTATCTTTTCCCTAGATTTACAGGAAATCTGAAAGGCTAAACAATGATACTTGAAATCTAAAGAAGTATGCCCATCACACACAGATCTTTCTGTTTTTAGCAGCCAGATTTTTCATTCTTTATTCTGTGAAGTCAATCAAGCACTTTGAGTGAACAGTGTATTGTCTAAGGTACAGATCATGTGCATGAAAACAGACTAATTATGCTAACATTTAAATGGTAAATTCATGATAAAACTCTTCAAAAGGAAAAATATTATTATATGAATGTAGGAACTGTAGCTCTGTTACAAATAGGATTATTTTATATACTATTCTACAAGCCAAGTGTTTATTTCCAAACACTTGTGGTTTGCCCAAGTAAATACAGATTCAGAGCTAAGGAGAAGGTTATCACCCACATAAGCATAGCAAAAATAGGATGGGTGCCCTGATGATATGATTACACTTGATTTTTGGTTTTTGCATGCAGTCACTTCTGTCACTTTTTTTTTAACCTTTGAACACTATAAAAATCAGCCAATCCAGCAAAGGTGGTTAGCATGATTTCAGCTTTGACCTAAGTGGGATTTATCTGCTCATTTTAGAGAGATCTAAATGATCTTCTGAATTATTTGCTGATTTCAAAGCCTGCACTCATTCACCATGTGAATTTACCTTTTAACTTCATCAGGAAGAAGATGAGCTATTCTTTCAAAGTACTTATTTGTTTTTAAAAAGAGCAATTAAAATTTTCCATCTTTATCTCATGGTATTTCCAAAGTTGCCTAATGAACAAGGCAGGTGATTGAAGTCAGGTGTTACACTTGTTCACTGCTGCTTAGTGTGATTCAATATAAGTGCATTTTCTTAAAAATGTGGCCTTTTTTTTTTTTTTTGGCTCCTTTTCTCTGTAGATATTGCATATGTGGTTGAAGCTCTTTTCTTTCTAACTTGATTTTTTTTATTTCCTTATATGTGAAAGGTTTTGAACCAGATATAGAACAGTCTTTATCCTACCAGAGGAACTGAAAATTAAAGCATTCTCTCATGCTGGGTTGAGATGGTGGTTCAGTTGTACCTGTTTACTGCAGTGCTGAAGCAAAGCATATGGATACAGACTTTTTCAGTATTATTTTGTTCCATCCAGTAGACCTAAAAAATAATAGTTCTGTCTATTTGAGACAGGGCATAGTCAGCTGTTCCCCTAGTAACAAGTTTATAGACTGGCTGCTTATTTTGATGAGATCCCAGTTATGCAGCATTAGAGAGCAGATGCTCCTGGTGTAATCTGATAGCAATTTTTACTCTATTTTCTAATTTGTAGTCAAGGATAGAGGATTTGATGAGACCAAGGCCTCTGTGAAACCTCCACCCTACTTTACCTCAAGCTGATCCCCTGACCTCAAAGAAAGGACAAACAGTTCTGCAGTAACTTTTTTTTTTTAAATGTATGTTCTGTACCTTAGTTATGTTCAGATGAATACAGAGCACCAACGAGATAGTTTTGAAGAGGCTTTTTCATCCTTGCTAACTTTTGTCAATGGTTGGCAAATAGTTTTATAGCAGATTTAAGCACGCTTTTGTTAAGATCAAATTGGAATAGATACTTTTTGGCACTAACAAATGCTAAAGAGAGTAAGAAATGAGGAAGAGGAGCTCTGAAGGAGAAGATACCAGTAACAATCTAGGTTTCAGCGTGTGGTAATTTTAGAATTTATCATGTCAGAAAGTTTTTGCACAAAGCAATAGACATGCAGCTGGAATTAGTGACTGATTTATCCCTGAGGTACAATTAATTATTTAAGGATTTTTGCTTCTGTTCTATGTTGTTGTTTGTTTCTTTACTGGAACTGACTGTCACAGATAAAATCTTTTTAATTTCGTAAACCTCATTTTGTGCAGTCTATTGGTTAAACATCAGCACAGGCACACAAAACCAGATGGTGTTGTATTTCTCGGCCTGAGAGCAAGGAAGTCAAGGCACTTGTTCATATTAATAGATCCTCTTTTGTGGTTGCTTTAATTGTTCACTGTTTTAATTAGTCTACAGAAGTTTCAATTTAAAGAATTTGCAAATAAATGTGTGGCATGCCGATGTTAGTTTCAAAATCGGTACCAACACTTTTATGAGAGGTTGTGATGGTAACCCTACTGTTTTCCCCAAGATGTTATAGTGATTTTTGTCATGTCTGTGTATAGCTGTGTCCTTATTTCCCTCTGGTTTTACAGGGCACAATGACTACATGTGTCCTGCCACTAACCAGTGCACCATTGACAAGAACAGAAGGAAGAGTTGCCAGGCCTGCCGGCTGAGAAAATGCTACGAAGTGGGGATGATGAAAGGTGGTATGTACACAGCCATCATCAAATCTTCAGCATTGCTGTCTGCCTTCCTGCCTTTTAGCTTCATTGGGCTGCTGATAAGGTTTCTAACTGAAGGAGGGAGGTACTGATTTTATTGAGTTGAAGTCTATTAAATCAAAATTATTTCATTAAATAAAAAATTAAAAGCTCCAGAATATCATTTTATCTTGTTCAAATTTGCATGAAAAATAAGAGGACCATTGATTTCAATAGAATTAGAATTCCTCTGTTATTATTTTTAACTCAGTGTTCTTTCATGGTAGGCTTCAAATCCTGATGAATGAAATTTAACCCAAGATTTTTCAGCATTTTGCAGTTCAGTGGGAAGAGCATTGGCAGTCTCAAATCAGTCCATATTAGTTAAATAAACTTCTGGATATATAATTTTTGTTCTGTGAATACTGGAAGGGAAAGTTAATTTCTCTTTTCTGGTACTGTACAGGTATTTTAGATGTGAATTAATTTAACCCAACAGTATTAAAGGCTTACTCACTTTATAAGAACTGTGATTAATGCTACTTTCCTAGAAAATTTGTAATACTGATGGCTTGTTGTAGCCTGCTAAAAATTTCACATTGCTTGTATCAATGAAGAGTAATCAGTAGCTGTATGGAAACCTGTATCTATGGGAAAAAAGTAGCAAACTAGTAAGTGCACAGGGCAGAAGGGATCCCATGTATTTTGTGTGTAAAGAGCTAGTTAGATTACAGACTGGTTCTTCCTTTCTTTGGCACACCTAATGCTTACTTATGCCACAGAAAGTCTGGTGCAAGAGAGAAGAGGAACTCATCATGTTTGTCCTTTCCTCAACAAATCATTTGTAAGTCCAGCAAAGGTAGGCCAAGTCTGAGAATCTTAGGACAAAAAGGGAAAGACTAAAGGAAAAATGATCAGTTGTTGCTGCACCTGAGATTGGATCTGCATTTTTCTCAACTTGAGGATTAGGAAAGAGCTGACGCTGATTTTATAATATCAATTTTGGGATGCAAGCAGGAGGAAGATGTAAAATCTGCTTTTTCTTCTAGAAGTTAAGACAATGGTTTAATTTTTTGCCATGAGATTTTATGTATTGATCTGAACATCCTGGTTTATATGGCTAGAACTTTTCAAAGGGTATGTAATTGATATCACAGGTATGATCCAGAATAGATAGAAGTTCAAGAAAGTCACACTAAAACCAGAGAATCCATACATGAGTATGACATGCAGATTTAGCTTTGACCTTTGTACACGTGACAGTTAATAGTTAGGATTTATAATTAGCTTTATGTTGATGACATTGCACTCTTCATTTGGCACATTTACATCCAATTCCACTTATATGTATTTAATTAATGATCCACTCTGCCAGTATTATGTTTTCCATATGTCTTCTCTAGGATGCAGGTTCTAATAGGTTTTTGACCATTCTATATGTAACTGTTTCACTCTCATAAAAACGGTGAAGATTTCTCAACCAGCATTGTTTTAGATTAAAGAAGTCTATATGAAATACTGCAATTCTGTCCAAATTTTTTTTCAAATATAAATATTCTGGGACTGTTATTTCATATAGTGCTTCTCACCTGAGAAAAGTCATCTGGATTTCATCCTTTCCTTTCCTTTTACAATGCCTGTAAGATTTTTATAGTCACTACAGGAACTGGCAGTTCAAAAATAGTCGGTGTTGTGGTGTTTTGTTTGTCAGTGTTTATTGTTTTGTTGCTGTTGTTTTTCTTCTTTTAAGAAACTAAACTCACAGTTTATAAACAAGGAGAGCAGGATCAGCATAAATTGTATCTGCTCTTATAGTACTGCTAATAATCCATGAAGTTCATCACTGGTTCATGGGCAAGAGTTTTAAAATATTTATTTTATGAAGTCTTGGAAAAAAAAATCTCAAGATCCCTCAGTTACAAGTAATAAATCTGTCATGCCTGCAGATGACTTCAAGGAAGTTAAAGTTTATATACATGAAGTAAAACATAAAAAGTTTTTCTGGAGTCATCATTGATCCCCTACTGGCCACATGAATGTGTGGGGAAGAAAAACCTTTCTAAATTCTTCTAAATCTAAACCTAAACTCTTCTAAATCTAGATCTTTATAGTTGTCACATTTCTCTCAGATGAAGATAAAGGTTAAGTAAATATTCTTATCATGCCATATGGCTTAACTTTAGGTGATAATGTTTAAATGGTTTTAATTTTTAATATTTTTTTTTCTGAGGAGAGCCATGAAGATTTTCTTTTTTAATAGATAAAATGGAACTTCTCTTCAACATACTAAAATAATGTAGCTCTGTGATTTGCTCAAGATTCTCAGTGTTCTCCAGTAACTCCTAGTTCTTGTGATTGGGTCTTTTAATTTAAAACATCACTTTATGCTCATTTTGAAGGATTTGCCTTTTTTTAAGGCATTAATTCTATCATATACTTGAATATTTTTTGTGTCTTATCTCACTTTTATCTCTGCCTCCACAATTTGCTTATGATGATACAACCTTTAGATATAGTGGAAAACACATATAATCTTTCTTTCCCCCAAATGTAATCCCAGTTTTTATTCTACACTAAATTAGCTGAGGTTTCTCAATAAATTTTAAAAGTTGCCAACTTGTGACTTTTATCTGCCATTTAAGTGATACGAGTAATAGCTGATATTAAATATGGACTTTCAGTAAATACTGTGGAAGGTAGGCAAAATCTTCATTAAATGTCTCTGGTTAATTCTAAACATCTGATATAGAATATGGCTGCTGAAGTTTTCCTCACAGAAGGTCACTTAATGCAGACTGAAAACGTTCACATATATTATTTTTGGTAGAGTGGACACAACTGAAATGTGTTTTAGAGGCTTCATGCAGAAAACAATGCAGGCTTCAAGTGGTCCTTGAACTGTGTGGAAGGAACATTTACTGATGAGTTCCTCTTATGAGTTCCTGTGGAAATTTTATTGATTTTTTTTTCTTCCCTGTTCTTCGGTCTTTTAAAAACTACTTTCAGTACTGAAGAGATTTTTTTTTCTCTCCTCTTGTGTTTGCAAGTGTTTTCTTCTGCGTCTGTTACTGTGCTGCTTCGAGACAATTAGACTGCAAGAATCTCTGCTGATGGGGCGGGCATCTGCGGCATAATTTAAAGCTGTTATATTTTGTCCAAATACTTCATTCTCTCTTTCTGAATAAGCCCTTAAAATTATGTGTTATTAATTAGTCTGTGCTCTCCTGTTTGTACATGAGGATAAAGTGGGCACATCGAATAAGATCCTTGCCATGTCCCTTTTACTTCTGTTCTGTAGCATGGGGGAGAAGCCTTGTTTTTGTTTACAATCTCCTGATACCTTCTTGAGGCTGGTTTCTGTCCTGGTTTGGGGAGTGTACTCCAACTTTCACATGATGCAGGGTGCCAGCTTTCAAATGGAGTTGTTACAGCAGCTGCAACCCTGAAGTTCCAACCGTATGTAAAGTGCAGGTGACCCCTGCTCCGATACAGACCTAGTTTTCTGTTTCTCCATTGTTTTAAAAGCTTTCTGGTGACTTGGGTCCAAAGACCCTAATTTTATGAAACCAAAAGCACCTTGTTTTTTTGGTTTTTAATAATTATTTTCATAGTGTGGTAAGTGAATGAGTGCTTCTAGTAATTAGCAGCATGCTGCATTCTTCCCTTCCTTTCAATGTGTGACAAGACAGATTTATCTTTAATGCTGTGTGGAATAAGAGCAACAGGGTCCGAGTGGGATTCGTAGCTATGGCAAAAAAAATGCCATAATGCTAAATGCCAGATACCTAAAGGAATATCCATTATTTGCCTGATAGTCCATGTTTAACCACCCTGACACCTACATAATTCTTTCAGTTGTCGAATGCTGATGGCTTCATTGCATCAAATCACAGGAAATGTGGCTATCAAGGATTTGAGTGCTCATGTGCTACATTCAGATGGTGACTTTGTATATGACATGGGGTATTTACTGTCTTTGAACAGCCTGAAATCTCAGGTTGTAGAGAGAAGATTCTCTGTATCTTTTCTCTGATTCTCTTTGTTGTGATAATGAAATTAGAGTGTTACAGCACATTTGAAGCCTACATCCTGCAGTGTTACCCTCACAAATTGCCTGAGAATGCTTCAGAAATTACTGGGATACAGCCCAGGGAGTGAAACTCTTTGCTGGCTGTAACAGGGTGCTAAACCCACATGCCATTGGACTATAGACACTTTCATTAACTCCTAGAGACTGGAGTCTCTAGGCTTCAGTTTTTCTCTTACATTCTTTTGAAATGGTTTATCCACCTCTAAGCCAGTCTAGTTCAGTGCAACAGTCTTGCTGAAGTTTAAGATAAATTTTTACCAGGAAAATGAAAAAACAAATTTTTTCATTCTGTCAGAGAAGGACCTTGCTGATTTTTGTTTTTAAATTGAGAGATCCGTACTTTCTTGGTGAATTCTATATTTATTCATGAAAAAGGCTTATTATTCATGAAAAAAGAGGTTATTAAAATAATTCTCAAAAGCAGAAGTAAATTGATGTCTGATGCAACCACTGGATGGGCTCAAGGCCTTCTACATTTTCATGCACTTATCTTTTAATTAATGATTATATTTAAAAGAGAAATTAGTGAATGAAAGGAAATGGATTGTGGATGTGGAATGATTCTGGCTTGTTCGAGGAGAACCTCAATGGTGCTTATTAGACATACTGTTCTGTACTCAGCCAAATAGCTGTAGGTGGGGCCTGATAAATGTATGAGGAAATGTACTCTTTAAAGTCGGAATTGTTGGGCCAAAAGCATGTACTTGTGCACATTTAAAGCAAAGTTTTGTGAGTTTACAGCAGTTTTCTGGGAAAATAAGGTGGAAATGAAATCAGATTTTTTGTGAAGTATTTTTTCTCCTCTTTGCACACATGCAAAGGGGATCACTGCCATTAAATTGTCACAAAGTGCAATACTCCTGTGTTCTGCCCCCAAAATTAGAAAGAGAGACGGTAATTGTGAATACCTTTGCCA